ACGGCAAAAGAAATGCATTGTATATATTCCTTTTCCTTTCAAAGGCAATTTATATTTTCGATACCTGTTTATTCTACTCTTACTTACAAAAGTTTCTTAACCACAAATCATAGCTTCTCAAGCTAGGCTCTATTAAATTTTGTTTTACCACTGACATCCACTTATAATTTTACCTGGATTCAAGGTAAAAGTATACAACTTACTCACCTTGCCAAGGATTAATGCTTAGTAATTTAGTCCTGTATTTATTACTGCTTTAATGAATCCCATCCAAATTGTATGCTCTGCGTTTGTAGCCAGATGCTAAGCTCAACAAATCTTCATATATATATATATATATATATATATATATATATATATATATATATATATATATATATATATATATATATATATATATATATATATATATATATATATATATATATATATATATATATATATATATATATATATGTATATATATAAATACATGTGTGACATGTTTCCTGTTAATATATATATATATATATATATATATATATATATATATATATATATATATATATATATATATATATATGTATATATATATATATATATATATATATATATATATATATATATATATATATATATATATGGTGGGGTATGCATGTATATATGTATATACATATATGTATGCTGATTCCTTATTATAAGGCATTATGCATATACAGGAGAGAATATATATATATATATATATATATATATATATATATATACAGGCTAACTGGAATACGCATGTACACAGGGATAGGATGACATCTCTCATCAACATATTCATCATCATAACCTCTCAAACCAAACCTAATGTTTTTAATAAACACTTAGGCAGAAATTCACTTTTGCCAACAGTCCAGAAAAGAGTTCAAGGCTCACTAACAAATACAGAAAACGAACAATGAGGCATAAAAAGAACATAAGGAAATTATATGCCTTTTAAAAATGTATTCCTTTTATTTGCCTGAAAAGGTCACGAGACCGGGAACATGTATAGGAAATATGAAGTATATATATATATATATATATATATATATATATATATATATATATATATATATATATATATATATAAAACAAATCCACATTATAACCAAAGACGCTTGCGGTTTTCCTTTTTTAAAAAATATACATTTTTCTCTTTGGACAATTATAACCTTTTCCATACATACGTACACACACATATATATATATATATATATATATATATATATATATATATATATATATATATATATATATATATGTATATATATATAATTTTGATATTATACCGAATCGCTACAAATTGCAGTCGTCTTTCAATGCATATCAAAGCGTCTCATCAGGCGATTGTAAATTATTAGTGAGTACTATATATATATATACATATATATATATATATATATCAATTAATTTATAATATTAATGCTCTGTAAATATATATATATATATATATATATAAATTAATTTATAATATTAATGCTCTGTAAATTTACATTGAGCACTATTCTGTAAAAATAAAATATCTATAAGAACACCGGATTTTATATCTTACTGTTCTTTCTTTTTATTTATATACATATATATATATATATTTGTGTTTGTATGCATCTATGTATTTTACTTTTAATCCAACATTATAGTTAATCAAAACGTTATTTTGTGGATGCACTTTTTTTAGTGGACTCCCTGTTTGGTTTTTTTTTTTTTTTTTTTTTGATTTTTTCTTTTTCTCCTAGAAAGGAGACACGTGTTCGAACAATTTTGGAGAGCATATTTTCTTTATTAAGTCTCTCAAAGACACAGCCGGGTAGACATAATTCATACTGACTGCTGTGACGCCCCCCGCTCTGGTGTGTCGCCGCTCCAAACGTGACATCCGCCTGTCTGCGTCAGTTGTGCTATCCCGTCCTGTGACGACCAACTGGCTTGGTATTGGTCGCGGCCCCCAAAGGTGACGTTCCAACCTTTTGGTGATTCGGATGGGAATCTGGTTAGATTCGATATCAGCCTCGTCGTTCCCAACTCGCCTCCAACGTCTGGTTACCGAAGTAACTACTTTGATCTCCCGTCTGCCTACCCACGTTGTGAATTGATCTAGGCAGACGAAATCAATCAGTCGCTGGGGCCGTAATGCAAGCTGAGTACGAATAAGGGCGATACCGCAAAATAAAATAAAATAATATGTCGAAAAGTTCAAATGTGTTAAAAAGGATAACAATATTTTATATCTGGTTGCTGAATATAGGACTACGTCTTTCTCCCAACCTGCTATATGGATACGTGACACGTTATTTTTGTTAGGCGATTCTTAACATCTTAAGTTGTCTGTTCTTTAAGAAACTGGTTCTTGGTGTGTCTTCAGGCAATATTCGTAAAACTTGTTTTGGTGGTATGAGTCTAAGTCGTTCTTCAAAAATAAATTGTTCTTGGTTAGAAGATGAGTTCGGAATTGCGTGAATCTTTAAAGTCAGCTCTGCGAGGCGGTCTGTCAATTGCCAATTCCAACCGGATCTGGATCTGAACTCAACTCAACTCGAACTCTAACTCGAACTAGGACTAAACTGATTTTCGCTCGCTGCGACTTTGCTTATATGGACGCTGACCCAAACCGAGGTGGGCTCGTTGGGGTTTGAGGTTCCTTGAGAATTCCAAATCCACACTCCCCTTCTTTTGTTTTCGGTCAGGAAAAATTTATTATTTCCATTTTTGGAAGTCTTCCACCTTCTTCTGCTCTCATATGGGTATCTCACCATACCCTCAGAAGGCGTCAACGGTTTTCCCACTCCTTCGCAGTAACATCTCATACCTATCCCCTCAATGGGTGGTGGCAGGCCTCCCTCTTGCATCACATGATTACCTCCGCCTGGCTCTCGTTAACATGGGTGTTCAACATTGAAACAAGATAAAAGAAAAAAAAATTATCTCCTCTTTTTCTTTTTCTATTTCTTTTCTTTCTTTTCTTTCTCTCTTATTCTCTGGCCGCCAACAGAACAATACGACCCGTACGACCCGTATACGACCCGTAGTGTGATAATCTCAATTCTTATCCCAATGTCACTTTCATATGGAATTCGTCAATCAGATTTTCGCCAGCACCAAGTGGCTGGTCAACCAGACACACTCACTCTCCGGCGCCAACCACTGATACGATGAAACGACTTTGCCAGTCAACAAAATTTTCGCCATTTTCTGATAATATTGTTTCGCTGTCATAGTCAAATTCGAACATAACCCAGATGTCTTTTCTCTCAATGACACCCTCCCATCGACAAAGACTTAACCTAGGGTTGGGTTCTCTTTGTGTGTGGTCAGGACATTCTTATTCCTCGGTCAACGGAAAATCTTTTCCCGATAATATAAGTTCGCCACCATGACACAGTTAATTTTTTATATATTCAAAACTCTGTATCTGGTTATTTGACCCACCTGCAATTTGTCAAATGGCCATAAAAATTTTCACCATTCTTCATTATCAAAATAACATCGCTAAATGCCCCTTTTGTGATGGCTTTCCTTTATCATCTAAGTTTCAACTCTCGCCTCTCTTTTTCTTTCCTTTTTTTTTTTTCCTAAATGGTGTCACACTGCAAAAAAGGGCGTCTACTCAAACAAGGGTATCCACTAAATTAAGGTTTAGAATTTTGAGGACGCAATTACGTTTGGTATATTTTCTGCAGGAGTTGTGTAAAATGTATACCCGTATTTTTTTTTATCTGCACAATATTTAATTGTCGCATAAAAGTGAATTTTGCTATCTAAATCATTAAACTAATACCTGAAAGAATCTCGAAAGGAAAAGCAAAAATTAAACTAATCACTTCTCCCGGTTTACAAATGAGATAATCCGTTGTTACACGGTATATATTCGCTTATTGGTTTCACTTAATTCCTCCTGTTGAAATGTATCATTATTAATTAGGGGAGCGCAGAACTGACATTACATTTGAATATTTGAAGATTATAGATATCAGGAAAGCTAGTAAGAGGAAGGGTGTTCTACTGTCGGAAACTACGAGAAAGGAGTTATTGGAGTAGAAGAAGCGGTTACATTTAACCGTTTCGACAGTGAAAGGGTGGGACCAAGATGGCATCCTATTAGCACACTTAAATTCATGCAGTTGGGGTACCATTGAAAGTAGATCGTCATAGCAGTTTCCATGAAAATATTTGTAGAAAAGAGAGAGGGAAGCTACAGCGACGTCTGTGAGAAAGTGACTGTAGACGAGATGCCAGATCAGGACCTATCACATTGCATATCCGTCTCTGGATGTTGTCGAGAGACCTCTGGTCGGGAGATTAGAAGTTTTGAGGAGCCTGGAACCACCTCTTTATTGTTCCCTGGTCCACTCTGGCCCGGGGTGGTAGCACTTGTTATGGTCCCAACTATATGCAAATAGTGAACCACTGAACAAAAACAGAATAAACAATTTTATAGTAATATGATCAATAACACAATATTTATAGAAAAATGACCAACAACAGATTGTAAAGCAATATAATCAGTAATACATTTTATAGCAAAATGACTAACAAAACATTTTATCTGTTGGTTGAAAGCATGAAATTGCATTCAAAATATATTTAGTTGAAGCCATAAAATTGTGTTCAAAATATTTAGATTTCGGCATTAAATAACCCCATAGCGGTGTTGATAGGCCGCTAAACAAAATCAACCAAACCAGTTGATTTAACTATAGCTACGTATGCCAGAATTGTGTGTAAATCAATTTACTCGTTAAAAATAAATCTTGGCAAATTAGACAGAAACGAAAATTACTGTGGGCTCAACAAAATCATTGTTATCCACAGAACTTGGCTGACTCTTTCAGAAGAACAAATTTATGAATATTTTACTACTTCAGATTTTGAAGTGAGGAGAGCTTACTTGTTTTGAATCTCAGCTTTCAAGCTCCTGCTTTCTATTTAGACTCGAACACTGACCAATGAAATGCGTGACTATATACGCCACCAGACCGGTGTAATTATTTTTGCTAAGCTAACACCGGTCCTCGTCCGATGATCGAAGTTAAGCAACGTCGAACCTGGTAAGTATCTAGATGGGTGTCTGCATGGGAATAGCCGGTGCAGCAAGCTTGGATGTGTGGGCTAGCTATATTTACTTACGCGCGAATATCATTTGGAAAGGTACGAATTTACCTCTTCTCCAGTCAGCTATGATTTAAATAGTAGAACTTTTATCAGTAAAATCATTATTATCTCGAAAAGATCTTACAAACAGAAAATATTGCGTCATACGTGGCAGCGTCAAATTTTCATCACGCCCAGACACTATTGTCTCGACTGTCGATTAGTTGTCCTACGGCCGTTGTCTGCGATGGATGGTACTCCAAGGAAGAGTACGAAAATTGTAACGCTGCACGAACACACTGACAAGCATTACCAGTAAGCAAATCAAAGTACTATACACTGGCCTGGAATGTCTCCTGATTTAAATCCAATCGAGAATCTTTGGTCAATCTGCAAAGAACGACTTCGTGGAATGGACATACGAAATACAAACATGTGTACTGGTTCATGTTTCATTCGAAAAATACGAAAAAAAAAAGAATAATAACGTAATTATTCGTTTTGTTCCAATTAATTTTTCACAAGGTTGTATATATGTGTATGCATGTACATATATTTATATGTATTTTAAAGACGCTAACACTTTATAGAAACATCCTTTCATAGACAAGCATAGTAAAAAATATCGATATCCATCGATATATTTATGCGGATGCCATTGTATAAGGTCTGCCCGAAAACTATCCATTTATTTTGAATATTTGGAGAAGCGTTTACACAGCTTTGTTATCATTTTCCGTCTAAGTAGATGGCAATATATTGCGCCTGTGTAAATAGACACTGTCCCATGGAATCATCCATTCCACAATAAGTAACCATTTTGTTAACTTGTGTGTTCTGTGACAGTCGCATTTACAGAAAATGTTTCAAATTTTACTTGAATCTTGAAAATTCATCCGAGAAAACTATGGGACTAATTCAGAAATACTTAATGCATCAAAACAAGTCATATTTATGTTTTGAACTTGGTCGGAAATCAGTTGAAAGCGATTTATTTTTCTGAGAGGCCAATTTTGAATGCGTGGGTCGTCGGGCCTGAGATTAAAGGAAATGGGTGATTATCATTGCTAGAACTTTAAGAACTGGCTATTTTGAATATCTTGTCTACTCATTCTTCAATTCTTTTAGAAGGTTTTTAGTTATAATATCGCATTTACCAAATCTGGTGCCTCCCAATTGTAGTCCAGTTTTGGAATGTTGTTCGAGTGTGTATTTTCACGAAAATTAGCAGAGGGATGGGAAATATAAATAAAATAAAACTGCGAATTTTCTTCATGTGCAATTGTAATATATCCTTCTCCATGTTGCGGAATGATGACCAATGTTGCTCGAAACAGATTCTTCTATCTGAAGTCAAAAAACTGAGATAACTCTAAAAAAATTTAATATGTTATGCTGAGTAATTTGAAATTATTCGATATTATTACTCAATCCATTCTACCATTCTGATTATCTTCAGGCGTGGTCTGCCTTTGGAGATTCGTCTCTAGCTGCGCTGGTCAAACTCTTTGCTTCTGAGCAGAGAAGATCCCCAGATGAGTCTATGTCGAAGGGCAGAGTCTCATCTCGGGAAACAGCTACCAGACCCCGTTTTATACGGGGTCCACGGGAATTTTGGGCCGAGCCTACGGGCACAGATACTCCACATTAAAATCGGTCTTGTGCCACATCTGATCGCGTTGGGCGGCTGGTAAATATCCTGATTATCTTCAGGCGTATCGATTCCGATATTTTGGGGGACATCGTGTTAGACGATTTTCATTTAAAAGAGGTTTTATTTTTTTATTTTGTCTATTGAAGTTTTCAGTTCTGTTAAAAATAGATCAATGCTAATCGACATCAATATACTGGTCATTTGTTCTTTTCGAGATATTTTAATTCTCATATTTCATCAGTATATTCAAGGTTTTAAGACTAAATGTACTTTTTCTTTCATCGACATTTTTATATTGGTCATGTCGAGCGAAACAATTATTTTCTGACGAATATTGAAATATTTTCTTCATATATCTAGAAAAAAGACGGAAGGGGAAATATTTTAAAATTTTAACAAGAATTTCTTCATCTTTTCTTTTCATCAGATATATAATAATTTTGAACCGTATTCAATATTTGCAGATCCGAATTGCAACTTATTATTGAACATTTACACTCTCCTCTAGCCTTAGGGATAACCTGAAAATTTGAATTCCAAACGTATTGGACCATTTGTTTTCACGTTGTCATATTCCTCATTTTGGTGAAATTAAATGCTGAAAGATAATTTGCAACACATAATTGGGTATAAATACGCATATTCTGTCTTTCACTCAATCTATCTATCTATCTATCTATCTATCTATCTATCTATCTATCTATCTATCTATCTGTGTGTGTGTTTGTCTGTGTATTTGGGCAGCAATCCCTCTTTTATACAAGTGTCATTAAAGACAACGGTCAATGTACTGCGATTAAGCTTTCTATTCAGTTTGTCTTGTGATCGTATAAATAATTTCGTTTGTAAATATAATGTGCGTAAAACTATCGGAATGTTCTATATATCCGAGTGCTTTCCAGTATTCTATTAACCATTATCAAGGATTTTATTATTTTTTTAACTGAATATGTTAATTTATATATATATATATATATATATATATATATATATATATATATATATATATATATATATAATAATGTAAATTTTATTTTCTAAACATAGCATATTTTGTCCATGTTCATAGTTGATATTATTGATTGTTGGCTTTTTCATTTTATTATTAATGCTTCCATCATTTTTAAACTTTTTATACATGTGGATGAAGATATAGTTGTATTTTGCAGACGGAGTTTAGTAGGTTTCTGTGTATGTTTAAATTTAGTAGACTTTAATGAAATATATATATATATATATATATATGTATATATATATATATATATGTGTGTATTTAGGCAGCATATTTTCATTTATACGTTTCATTAAATAATATAGACAAGTGTTGTCTATTTATTTTATGTAAAATTTTTTCGTATTTTTCTGATAAGTTTGGTAACATTATATTATTTAATGAAACGTGTATAAATATATATATATATATATATATTGACTAATAATATTATCAATATATATATATATATATATATATATACACATATTGACTAATAATATTATCAATATATAGATACACATATTGACTAATAATATTAATAATATATATATACATATTGACTAATAATATTATCAATATATATATATATATACACATATTGACTAATAATATTATCAATATATATATATATACATATTGACTAATAATATTATCAATATATATATATACACATATTGACTAATAATATTATCAATATATATATATATATATATATATATATATATATATATATATATATATATATATATACACATATTGACTAATAATATTATCAATATATATATAATCATCCACAGACAGAATGTTTCGCTGTATCACAGCTCATCAGTGCTGCTAGACATCCGATTGCTTCAAGCCGGGATCAAAACTCAACCGATTTGACATTAGTCTGCCATAGCGCTCAGTTTTAACGAAGTGCGATGCATTTAAAGCAGTAATAGCTTTTAAGAATTCTCTTTTCCTATAGTGTTAATAGAATTTCAATATAGAAACGAAGATAGATAGATAGATAGATAGATAGATAGATAGATAGATAGATAGAATCTATCTATCTATCTAAGATAGGTTTAGATAATATTGATTTTAGATAATTAGAGCTGAATGGAGTAAGTGATATTGACATAAAGGTATGTGAAAATTTAAATAAGTACAAACTAAAGTGATAGATAATTAATGAACGGATCGAGAGAGAAACAGACTGAGATACAAAAAAGAATTTGTCTTTTCGTGGATTACTGCCAAAAAAGAGAGTGTCACCCAAATTATTTCTGAATTAGATATCATAATCCAGATTAAAGCTTGATTAATACATATTTAAATTCGACGGATATAAATGAAAATATCTAGATAGATATAAAGATTTTTTTTAAATATAGATATAAAAGTTAAGCATAAAGAGGCATATAAAATAACTATATACAACCCATATAAGATGCGCTTAGAAAATTTATATTAGTCACAGGCAGACGGGAGAATTCGATGAGAAATAAATATCAGACTAAAGTATAAAACTATTGTTTCGTATTCTCAATATTAAAAACTCGATATAAACAAGATTATCACAAGATAAACATGTCAACCAATTGAAGAGAGGTTACCCGTAACCAATTCAAACTCCAAGCTGTCTATTCGAATTATAGGCATAGATATTTAGCAAGTTATTCGAGTTTATTAGTGGAAAAACATGTAGGAAGATAATGCTATGTCAATCTTTATTATGGGGGCTTGCTTGCCTTAAAAACCGCTATAAAAGTAGCATCAAACTATATTCTTCCTGTGTTAGTAATTTTACAAATATTATTTGTGGGAAGTAATTTGCACTTTTTATAGAAGGAAATATACTATTTTATTCGTTTTTAGAAATTAGCGAATGCGACAGACTTCAGCATCAGTTCAGTAGGAATAGTTTTCAAGGCCTTCCAGACGTTCCCGTTTGGAGAATTAAAGTCTATATAACAATTTTTCCACCGGGTGTCTTCACACTGCATTAAGTTTATAAATATCAATAAGGATGATGAATTGCCTTGTCGAGGGGGGGGGGCGAGATAACTGTTTTAGACGAAGCAAAAAATGCAGCTCTCAAATTTAAAGATGATATTAGTTATTGCTTCAATAATATCTCTGCCAATTTCTCTTTCTTTTAATGTTCTGGGAAGAATTACCGTTGTCACCTGATTATGTTACAAGGTAAACTGGATTGAACAATGCCGAAGATTCAAAAGGCAGGATGTGAGTTCAGCCCTGACAAATAGGAATGAACAAAAATAAATAAAAAGAAAATAAATAAATTGTAAAATCGTGAGCTCAAACCATTGCAACTACGATGTATATTTCTCATTTATTCTTTGGGCCAAAC